CGACGTAGATGGCGACAACATGCCCAAACAGCATGTCTGCGTCACCTACGTACCAAAGGACGAGACAACCGTCAGTCTCTCCAGGGACAAATTTCTAAGTAGGATAGGGAAGCAAAATCCCGGCCTCAAGATAAGTTCCTGGAGGGTGCTGAGGATGGATAAGGAAAAGGACGGGGGCTGCTCCATCACCTTTTCCGTGGATGATTCCGGATTGGAAGATCTACGGAAAGCGGAGTTTCGACTTTTCCTGAATTTCTTCCGTGTTACCGTTCGGGTTAAAGGAAGAAAATCCTCTCAAGGTGCTGGCGGCAGTGCAGGACAAAATAAAAAACCAACGCCCACCGCAATAACGACGAGCACTTCAGGCCAACCAAAAGAGCCAAAACTCATTGGAAAGTCTGAAGTCGCTCCGAAAATGGCGGCAAGGGAAACGGAAAGACCATCGACCAGCACACCAAATACAAGCGTCCCGAGTGAACCAAAAGGCTCAAGCCTATCGGGAGCCCAGAACTGCTTCTGTATTTGCTGTTGGAGGGGCTAGCGTGGCACCTGGGACGGCAAAAGACGCTGTGGCAGGGCAGGCGCCCACCAAGATGTGTAAAAAGGCGGCAATGGGAAGCAAGGCTCATGTAAAGCCGTTGTCTAAAGGGCCAAAGCCCATAGACAAGAGCCGGAGGAAATGATATGGCTGTGAGGTGCATCCAAATAAACCTACAGCATGCTAGCGCATCTACCGATGTTCTAGCTCATAGATTTATGAAGGATCACCTCGATATTGCCCTTATCCAAGAGCCTTACATAGTGAAGGATCAGGTTAAGGGCCTAACAGGTGAGCAATTGTATGATAATACAATTGAGGGCAGGCCTAGGGCTTGCATTTTGTTTAGTAAAAGGCTAACGTATTTTCCCATTCCAGATTACTGTTCTAAGGATCAAGTAGCTGCGTTGGTAGATGAAGTCCTCCGGGGGCTGCTCATCCTACCTCCCGGGGGACTGTGTCCACTCGGACGAGCAACTGAAGGATCTAGTGGACTTTTGTGGAAGGAGGAACTTCCAACTTATAATAGGAAGTGATGCCAATGCCCAACACACCGTCTGGGGAAGCAGCAATATAAACAAAAGAGGTGAGTGCCTACTTGAATTTATATATAGCAATAAATTAATGGTTATGAATGATCAAACTGGCCAGCGAGGCCCTGACGGCGGCTATTAATAATGCCTACCACGGGAGCTGCCGCGCTAAGCCGAGGCGGAGCAATAGGAAGTGCCCGTGGTGGAATGAAGAGCTTTCAAGGCTTAGACTAAAGACCAGAAAGCTATTCAATAAGGCCAAGGCGTCGGGTTCGTGGGAAGAGTATAAAGACTCACTCACAAAATACAATAAAGAAATTAGGAAAGCGAAGAGAATCTCGTAGAGGGTGTTCTGCAAGGGCATTGATGAACTCTCCAGCAGTGCGCGTCTTCACAGGGTGCTTTCCAAAAAATATGCTAGCGGGTTGGGCCTAATGGAACGTCCTGATGGCTCCATGACTGAGAACGGAAAGCAGACGTTGGAGCTTATGGCGTCAACGCACTTTCCTGACTCGAAGATTCTTCGGAATCACTCAAATGCGGTCATTGAACCGAGGGCATCCTGGCCCAGGAGGGATGACTGGCAACGATCCCGCATAGTTTTCACGATGGGCAGGATTAGATGGGCTGTTTTCTCTTTCAGGCCCTTCAAATCTCCAGGTGATGACGGGATATATCCTGCATTTTTGCAGAGGGGTTTCCAATATATCGCCAGAGCACTGTTGGAAATTTTTCGTGCCAGCTATGAGTGGGGTTACATCCCTCAGGCATGGAGGGTGGCTAAAGTGACGTATATTCCGAAGGTGGGTAAGCGACCAAGCAATCACCCAAGGTCATTCCGTGCAATCAGCCTTACTTCTTTTCTATTGAAAGCAATGGAAAAAGTGATTGATAGATTTTTACGGGACGATGAACTGGGAAGCAATCCCTTGCATGAATCTCAGTACGCCTATCAGTCGGGAAGGTCTACTGTACTCACTCTGCAGAGTCTGTTGGGGGTCCTTGAAAACTCACTGGAGGTGCGGGAGGTGGCAGTTGGCTGCTTCCTTGATATAGAGGGAGCTTTTGACAACACCCCATATCATGTCATCTGTGAGTCGTTGCACAAACGAGGGATTGATGCGACAACTAGCAGATGGGTTAATCGGATGCTACAGGATAGGATTAGTAAGTCCGCCATAGCTGATGATATACTCTTCATCTCCGCTGCAAAAGGATGTCCGCAGAGCGGGGTTCTTTCGCCCCACCTGTGGTTCATTGTGGTGGATGATCTGGGGATACGCCGACGATGTGGCCTTCGTCGCGCGGGGAAAATTTGAGAGCACTATTTCTGATCTTGTACAGCAAAATTTACGTGTTGTGGAAAGGTGGTGCAAAGGCGTTAAGTTAAATATAAATCTAAGCAAGAGCACTTTAGTCGACTTCACCAGACGCAGAAGTAGCGATAGATTAACGAGCCTGCCTGGGAGTGACCGGGGCAATGCGGACGGCTCCCACCGCTGCATTGGAGGTGATGGTCGGATTGAAGGAAGCTCGGCTAGTGACTTACCGACTTCTCTCTGGCGAGGACGGGGCAGGACTAAAGTTGGCCCACAGAACTCACAGAGACTTCATTGAGAGCGATCCGATTCTTAGAATAACCATGTCGGATACCTGTCTGCCGCGGTACAACTTCGTCCACATGTACAGGGTTCTGTTTCCCGATTGATGGACGTGTATGTGCAACCCTTGACCCGTATTACACAGTGTTCCAGGCCGAAATACATGCAATAGAGATCTGTCTGAGAATCAATTTGGAAAGGGGGTATAGAAACCGCACCATCTATGTGTTCTTAGACAGCAGGGCTGCACTGCTGGCGCTTCGTTCAGCTCAGGTTACATCCAAGCTGATCTGGAGCTGCCTCGCTGCACTTATGGAATTGGCATCGGAGAACAGAGTGACGCTCATTTGGGTGCCGGGCCATAGTGGCCATGCGGGCAACGAAGTTGCCGATGAGCTGGCGCGGAAGGGATCTGGGGCTGACTTTGTGTAGCCGCTGCCTTTCTGCGGTCTGCCTTCTTCCGCCGTGGGGGCCAGGTTTGCCTGCCTGCTCGCGGCGGAATGCGGCCGTCATTGGCGGGACACGAAAGGGTGCCGTCATGCGAAAGTGTTGCTTTCGGCGTGCTCCAGCGGATTCACCGCAGAGTTGCTGGGGATAAGCAGGAGCCGGGTTCGCACTATTACGAATTTCTTCACGGGGCACTGCCCAGTGAAATACTACCTGCATAGGCTGGGGAAGTCGGGCTCCCCCCTATGCAGATTTTATGGGGGTGGCGATGAGACCGCCGTGCACATTGTCTGCGACTGTTGGCACTGGCTGTTCCACGCCGCAATTGTCTTGTGCATGGGTCCCTAAGTGTTCGGGAACTGTTGTCCAACTCCCTTAGGGATATCTCCGGCTTTGTGATTGGGACGGGGATATTATAGACGGGAGAGTGGGTGGGCTACAATAAGTCAAAAATGGCTGCGGTGGCTTGGGGGGTTACTCCTGTCCCACTCGGTTCCCTTAGAATCTACGAATATAGTATCTATGAATCTACCATATATTTATAAATGTATGTATGTAAAACATAATATATATTGTATAATTGGTTTATACATTTGTTCATAATATTTTTAAGTTATTTTTAAGTTATACAATATAATATATGTATGAGTGTATGTATATGCATCTATTTATTCTTGTATAAATATTCGCCTACCATATGCACATTATATATGTTAATTAATTATTTTCAAATATGTATTTATTTTGCAGTTCTTCATTTTATTTCAATTAATTAATATAAGAGGTGCATTGATTTGCCAAATTAGTTGACACCTTGTGTTTAACGCCTCCAAAATTCTATATCAAACACCATTCGTTTAAAATCAATAATACGAAAATTTTTTTGTTTTAGTTCATTGCCGCTTCTGTAACCACATTTCTGTGGCAATGCTCAAACATAAAAATGACAAATTTCAATTTTGACTAAAGTACAAAATTTGCTTACGAAATTTTAATTAATTTACTTAGTTCTACTCAATTACTTGAGAAATCTATGTGTTATATACAAAATAGCTCAAATTTCAATATTTTTTCAACAAAATTCTCTTAAATTTTTATTTAAGAATAATTTAATTCTGTACTTGCAACCTATTTCACCTTCTTAGTAAATGTACAAATTTAATGTTGCTATTAAGAAAGTTATAACAAACTTTACCTCATTAATTTTCAAAAATTTTATTAAGAATAGAATAGAACAATGTAGAATTTCTTAACTATCTATCGATTTTCTATTTCTAGAATAAATTTTTTAATAGCCTTTTGTTATTCCTAATAATTATATATAAATCTCATGTCATTAACAAAATAAATTTTAAAACCATAATATTCAACTAATTTTAAATCCACAAAATATTATTAAATTTTCATTACTCCCTCTATAATATAATTAAAAAGAAAGTTTTTAATTATAATCTCTTCTAAGCTATATAAAATATTTTTAATTTCCCCATAGAATAACTAGGATAAGTATAATATTTAATTTATCATATCATAATTGTGATCCCAATTGTTAATTTTATTTATTTAAGAAAATGTTTCATATATACATTATATTGAATTTATATATGTATTAAATTAAATATAATGGTAATAACATGAAAATTCTGGGGATAAAAATGAAAAATTAAAAAAATATTTCTGATTTCTAATCTATTTTGGTCTTTATCTTTCTATTTAACAATAGCATGATTGAATTTCGATACAATTTATTGTATTTCAAACTCGAATACTAAAATAAAAACATCATTGAATCAAGTCAATCAATTTATGTACTTTAAATTTAATTTTAAATTATTTGAAAAAAAAAAGATGAAAACTAAATTAATATTTAACATTACTCACCTGTTCTTACGCACTCCTCCGTTAGGCACACAGTTTGCTCCAATTTAGCTGCAAAAATAAAAAAATTAGTGTACATTAAATAAATGCAAACTTCATTTTAAATTTAAAAAAAAAATTAATATTGTTAATTAATTTTTAAAATTTTTAAAATTAAAGACTGCCTAAAGGCATGAAAACAACTAAAATAAAAAATATTTCGTTTGATATTTTTAAAATTACGATAATAGTAAACACTACTCAGGACAAGGTATTTAATATAATTAAAAAAAAAAAAACAAAAGGACTTTACTCAAACACTCTTTTCAAGAATATTGGAATATTTTTTTTATATAAATTTGTAAATATTTATTCACTCCAATAACGTTCAATAAATTTATCCTATTTTTATACTCAACAAAAATTTAAACGAAAATTTAAATTTCAAAACCTACAGCAATTTAATTTATGACACAATCCGTACAAAATATAATAATTGGTTAATTTGAAATCCAAAATTGGAAAATAGTTTTTCGCATACCAAAAAATTGCATATATTAGGGGGAAAACATTTATTTGTTAATAAAGCAATTTGCCCCGTAACATATGCAATTTTTCAAAAAAATTAAAATTCAAGGTTCACTTCAAAAATTTTTCAAGTCAAATTAATTAAACCCAATGTTTTTCTTTAAATGTTATTCATTTCCAATTAATTTACAATTCAACAATTTCTCTCACAATTTCTCAAAATCCTATATATACCGCATACACACAAAAATTTCTGATTCATCTTTCATATTCAAAATCTGTAATGTACCTTATCTTAACTTTCTTAAAATATTTAAAAAAATTTTAAAGAACATAAAATTTAACTACATATCAAAAAGTTAATAAAATAAAAAAAAAATATTTAACGAGAACACATTGTCCAAAATTTCTTTAATCTAAAAAAATCTCATCTGAATTTAAATATTTCCTCATTTATTATCCCGAAATCAAAACTGAAAGTTACAAAAAGGTTATGCTTTTGCATAAGTTAGCAAGCCAGTCAGGCTATAGGTCAGTATAGGAACGAGAATTTTCTTATTTAATGTCCTTACAGCAAAAATGAAACATTGAATTACTTAAAAATGAATTATGCTCTCATAAATTAATCATTAAAATGAAGAAAAAGAAGTAGAAAACATGAGAAAATGAAATTTTCGTTTCTTGGACTCTTGGACATTAATCAAAACCAAAAACAGCAACAAAAAAGCAAAACAACAACATTATTTTTAACTTATCATAAATTAAATCTAATATTAAAATGTTTCAAGTTACAAAAATCATTCCGAAGTAAAAATCATGAGTTTTTCTTTTCCTCCTGAAAACGAAATTCTTAAATTCCATAAAGTCTTTAATATTAAATATTTCGCATTAATCTTATTAATATGTAAAACAAAAATATAAGGAACGTTTTCAGTTCGTTCCGCTTTTTATTTTTACTATGTAAAAATACAAAGGAGCTTTAATGAAAATGAAGTACAAGGAAGGAAAAAAGAACACGCGAAAATGAATACGTGTTAACAGTTTTGTAAATTAAAAAATCACGAATCGAGGATTTATTTTAATTTAAATTTTTCCTTTGTTTTCTGTTTTATTTTTTGCATTCAAAACAAATGTGGACCAGAAAGAAAAAGGACTTTAGCGCAACAATTAACACCTTAACGCAATATCGCACGACTTTATTTTTAATGTTTTTCTGGTTTTGTTTTTGTTGTTTTATTTGCGCCTTTTACATCGTTTACAAAAATTTTCTCATAAAAGTTTTTAATTCTTTTTTTCATACAATTTAATTAAGAACAACAAAAATAAAATGTATAGCTTATAAACGTAAAAAACAACACAGAACTGGGCCTCTTTGTCAGAGGGTGGAAAACGAAATTTTATACTTTATTTTACTTAAAACGAGTCCTTGTTTTCAAAAACAAAAAGAAAGAAAGAAAAGGCATAAGCATAGAAAATATTTTAATTTCGTTTTCATATTTTATTTGAAATGAAAATAAAAAAAAGCAAAAACGAATTTCTTTGTAAATGTCATATTAAATACAAAATAATTTGAGCACAAATTAAAAACAATGTGCACAAGTATATATATAGAAATACATACATACGCGTATATTTTACGCACCCAGATTCAATACACTTTAAGTATATAAAAATCCAGAAATTCAGGTCGGCTTATGAATTTTATTTATAATTTCAATTTTATTTGGAATATGTGGGAATTCCTTAATATTGGTGTTTGTTATATGGAAATATGCTAACGAAGAAATTTTAGTGTTTCTGTTTTTCTTTCAATATACGTGTGTATAAACAGATTTAGTTTTATACGGATACATTTTAACATAAAAATTACGATTTATTCGCGAATAATGGGAATATAAAAGCGTACTTTTGTTGAAAAGCTTATTATTTTGATATGGTTTTCAAGCTGGTGGCGAACTATCAAATTCATTACAATAGACTCACAGTTTTTAGAAATAAATACCCGTCTTCGAGTCTATCCAAATCTAAACTTCAAATTTTATATACGAATTTTATAAAAAAAATGCGTTTAAATTTTTAAATATGACTTTGACTACAGTAGTTAAAAAATCCTGAAATCAACAATTTGAAGTCAGAATTTTCCATACGAGTATTTCAGCCAGATCAGCTTTTATATTTGAAGAGGGAAAAATTATGCTGTATTCTAAACTACGGTAGGCTCGTCACCTACATAGTAATCTCAATGACGTTAGAAACTGATTCATGGTTATATTAACAATATCGTGCACCAGCCCTATACAACTTCAAGGAGCGAAGTAGGATAAAAATAAAATGCTGTGTTCTATCGTTTGAAAGAGCATAATATTTTTTCCAGATTGGTCATATTATTGTTCTACAATAAATATAACAATTCGAAATTATAAATAAAAGCATAAAGTATCCCAAGTTGCCGAATTCAAGCAGATTAAATAACATTCATGTATTTATATAATAATATTTCCCTGCACAATAATTACACTATGAGCTTTATGATCAAGAAAATTCATAGCCTTAGTCAAAATATTTAATTTCTATTTTTATTCATATAATAATTTCAAAATAATTATACGGAAAATTAAAATTCTTTTTTTAACTTTTTTTTTTTTTAATTTTCATTGACCGTAAATTTTTACAGCTAATTAATATTTTGCTACTATATTTTCTATACATTAAGAATATACCCTAGAAACCCTATTTATTGAACTCCAGTTACTCATGTTGTACGGGTTCTGATAAGAAAAAATTCTTAATTTCATACAAACATTGTATGCACAGTTGTCCTGATTTTATTGTAAAGAGTGAGAAAAAAAAACTTTCAAATAATTAAAAATATTTGCTTTTAAATTTTAAATTAAGCATGTCCTAAGGATATTTTAAAATACAAAATATGTATATATTATATATTTTTTTGATTCTTAATATTTATATTTGAATAAACAAGGATTTTTACTTATTTTCCTTTTGTTTTTTCTTTCTTTATTTAACTTGTAATTTAAATTAAAAATTATTACAGCAATTATAGTAAATAGAAATTTTTAAGGATAGCCAAGAATTAAAATTATTTTGGAATGAAAAAAACATTTATGTATGGAAACAAGAAAAATTCTTTAAAAATATTTTGTTAAATTGTGGCAAAATTTCGAAAAAAAAACAACATTAAAATATAAAAATAATGTTTAAGGACGCAACAAGTTTTAAATTTGGTAGTTTGAGTAGAAAATGTTTTAATTAAATTTTTTACTTAGAGCCTATGTGCAAAAACAAAACAATATAATATTTTCCTTTATTAAAATGGTGAATTGTTGATTCCAAAAAGTTTTACACTCTCAGCCCTATATAAAATTATAATGAAATTATAAAGTAAATGAATTCATTTTTGAATTTTGTTATACTCGTAACGCACAAAGCAAAAGTTAAACATGCTGTAAAAAATGTTACAAAAAATCATTCTACTAGAAAAAGTTAAAAAAAAAGCAAACATATTAAAGTTTGTTCATATTATTAAAAAATTTTTATATAATAAATTTTATTATAGTAGTAATTTTATTAACTTTATAGAAATTTATCAGAATTCTTGAATTTTTACTTGTTAAAGCGAAAAGTTTCACTTTAAAATTATTTTAAATTGGTTCTTTATTAATTTCATGGGATAGATGCAGTTCGCAGTACAATGTGAAGACACTAATTTATTAGAAACTCAGTTTATCTCTCTAGAATTGCTACCCATATATAAGAAACCAGTTAAAAAGCTTCATACTTAACCCATAATTTTCCTTAACTTCGGATTTTTTTAAACTAAACTAATTTAGTAACAGAACAACAGCCTATTTTCAAAATTTAAGCAATCAACAAAGCTCCTTATTTAGTTTAATAACTAATTTTTGACTTAAATCTCTAGTATAAAATATTTAAATTGAAATAGAATTCAAAATATTTCCAAATTTCATTCACATTCAAAACTGTAATGTATTTTCATAAAATATTTCATAAAGAATCTTAAATTTCTTATACATAGTTAGTTTATTGCAATATTAAAATACTAATATGAAATTTACAAAAGGCAAAATAAAAAAGCCCTTCATATATGAAGGAATTTTTGCCATTATTTATCATAATATTTAATTTTCTAAATGGATTCGAAAAGGTTCAACATTCAACATTTTTGGTCCTTATATCTTTATTATTGTACGTGAATTGATTTTAATAATGTGTTAGTGTAGAACATTATAAAAATAATAATAATGAAAGTATTTTCAAAAAGTATAACAAATTTAATTTTTCGTTTGAAAGTATGTTTTTTGAATGGCATTGTATGGCATTTTATTTTCTCTGTCAAACAAAATTTACGAAAATTTTTCATCAAATTTATATGAAAAAGAAACCGAAACCTATCCAACATTTCAAATAGTCAAATTTTACCGTAAATCAACTTTTAATTGATGTATTTGACGTTTTGTAATTTAGGTTGAAAAATATATGACAAACACTGTGTGGCATGCAACTGA